ATGTGAGCAGAAAAATGGAGAAAACCCATGCTTGGACCATGTGAGCTTCCTGCTTTGAGAACAGCCTTAGAAATCTACCTTAGTTGCAGCAGAAAGAGGCTTCCTTTGCAGGACGTTGGCATTATCCCATGAAAAGTAGGAAACAGAGAAGGTAGTGTGGCTCGGTTCTGAGATCACAACAGCCAGTCTGTGTTTAAGGGTCTGCCATGAGATCTAGTCCTAAGATGATTTTGAATGTCACTCATGCTTGCGTGGTCTGACATTTCTGTTTTCTACTGCCTGTCATTTCTGTTTCAACAACCTACCTGTGATAATGAAAACGAACAACAAAAACCACAAGAGATGGCTAGACTTTAAGGTCTCCCTTAGAACTCGAACATTTTTACAACCTATCTCTTGCTCTCTCCTTGCCATTCAAAATTTCACAAAAAAAGGATGTTTGTAGTGTAGAAATACCGCAAATCTCACATTGTAATTAGTGTTGCATGCTTTTTATTTTTCTTTCATTTTTCAAAAGAAAAGCTTAGATTAGCCATTCTTATGTTATAATACTTAAATACATATGCAGGTAGTTGCTGCTTGTAATGTCACACAAACAAATCCAAAAACATTAGAAAGGCAGATATTCAGCCTGCTTTACAACTCGACAAAACATGCTGGATGGATTAGCCTATTTCAACCTTTTTGCAGGCTCTTACTTTTGTTGATTTATTTCCAACACACATAGTAACCCCTTTTAAATGTGTTGCAGATCTTGTAAATTCTTTGCTTATCCCCGTGGAACTTAGCAAGGATTGCAAACACTGTCAATGGACCTTCACAGCCTACAGGTACAGCATAAACTCATAAAGGTTTCAGACATTCCCTGTGGTCCTTTAAGGACCACGCTTATTGTTAAGGCTTGCAATTACTGTCTACAGAGTTCAGAGGTTCACAGCTACAGTCCTCACACCACCTCTCCCAGGATTTTATCCTCCTCTGTTTCCTTACGCAAAAAACAGTCTCTAGCATTCTTCAGAGACATCTTCCTCCCTAGCAAAAATGCACGTGGCATACTGTCTGCACTCTGGGAAAGTGCAAACTCCAAACACTGTTCCTTTTCCCAAAAATCTTTCCTCAGATTCCAAGCATTTGTAGATTGTTTACAGAAGTCTTCTTTCCATTCATTCATTCATCCATCCATCTCTTCTTTTATCATAGAAAGGGATTTTCTTTGCATTTATTTTAACGATAGCAATCTTTCAACAGCAGTAACTGTACATGTCCTGAAAGCAATCTTCTAGAAACGAGTGAAAGTTAAACAGTGCAATCTTACTTGGAAAAAAGGAAAACCCACCTGCATTGCTCTAAAAAACAAAACAAAACAAAACAACCCCCCCATCATCAGCTCTTTCCAGTAAAAACCAAACCAAACCAAAACAAAACAACCCCCCCCATCATCAGCTCTTTCCAATAAGATTTAAAACCCTACATTTGTCATTTGCTAGTTTTCATGCTTAAAATTTGTTCAAAGAAATCAAAAGAAGAATCCTATCTTTCCACTTTTCAGAAACACTTGGAACGGCTCTCTATATATTCCCACTTCTTCTTAAGAGCTAATAAACTGGATTAATTTTTTGAGGTCTTTAAGTAGAAGAAAAACTGAATAGAGACTTAAAGAAAAACCCTCTGAACCTCACACAAAGCTTGTATTTCACAAGCTGACTTGCAGCAGACATGTGTCACAAATACAACTCCAAACCCCATTTTTTTTCAAACCTTATCTGGGAAGGTTTTGCAAAATAGGCATCAAACAATAATTCTCTTTACACCACTAAAATTATACTTATAGATGGGAAAGAACGGGATAGAATTTCTTTAGTGTAAGTGCTGAACTGTAGTTTGCCAAACACAGCTAAGACTAAGCTGGATGTTTTAAAAGTCTAATGTTCAAAAGCTTTGGTTTTGTTGTCTGCTACCGAGTGAAATGACTAAATAAATGTCTTTTTATGGACCACACAACACACAGATTGTATCTGCACAGGCCAAACCGGGCAAGGCACAGCAGTATAATGCATTCAACCCCAAAGCTAGTTTTTTTAGCTTATTTCTCTAAGGTCCGTAATCTAAAATTGCCAGGACGGCCAAATGCCCTTGCTCTTCTCCATGCTATCTGTTTTTGCAACAAATCACAAATATCTTAAAGCTTGCAAATTTATATGGGTTTAGCCTTAATTATCAGACTTCGTTTTCTCTGTGTCCATCTGAGAAATCAAGGAGATTTTTGCAAGCTGCTGCAGTAGGCTGAACACCAACGCTAGTAGCATATCCAAAAGGCAAGCAAAGTGAAATTTGCTTTACAGGCTTTTTTTCTCCCTCCTTCAATATTTTTGGCCTGATACAGATGCGTCCTGCCAAAATCTCTCCCCACTGCACTATCATTCCATGAGCTATTTCACACCTCCCATTCAGTTCTAAAGCGGAGCCAAACCCATCCAGACGCCGCTGGTATCCAACGCGTGACAGCATGGAATCTTTCCCTGGACATTAGGAGAGGCCATGAGATGTCAGGGGTGAAGTATCTCCACGGTAGAAATGATGCTCAGCTGTGCAGCTCCTTTCCATGCCTTTCCACTCATTGAATCCAGATGCCACAAGTTTCTCAGCTTTGTACGTATCTGAGAGACAGCGACATAGACTAACACGTGAGAGGTGAATCACAGACTTGGGGTGGGGAGCAATTCTAGCTAGCCAGAAGGATTACTTAAAAAAAAAAAAAGGAAAGAAAAGAAAAGGTGACTGGTTCTATGCCCATCCTTTAAAGTGATGAGGTCAACTCCCAGTGGTTTCATTTTAGCTTAGTAACACTGAAAAAGAAGGTAACAGAACTTCTCAGCAGTTGAGTATGGCTCACAGCCTCTGGATCTGTTGGCCAGCAGCTCAGTTAAGTCTTGCTGCAGCATCTTCCTTAGCCAAGGCACAGAATTCACCACACTGTCCTCACACAAATCAAATCTCTGCACTGTATTCTCAGAAGCATCCTTGCAAAAGCATCCGTGAGTCTGACAGAAGTGTCGGACAAGCTGCTGGACAGCTGGGCTCACTCCAATCACTGCACCATCAATGCCTTGCATGCTATGCACCGGCTACTTGCTACTCCTGGGGCTTGCCCCTCCACGAACATATTCTGCAGGGTTTAAGGACACAATTATCCCTGAAGGTGTCCTGTTACTCTTTAGAGATGTCAGTAAGGTAGATAGAAAGATCAGAAGTGGTATGCTTCAGGGTTAGAGAAAAACTGTTCTATAAAATATTGGCATTTCTATAGGCCCACCTGAAATAGCCAGGAAAGAATACAAGGTTCATCTCCGCATTAAGCACTGCGAATGCAGTCCCCGATGTGAGGACTCAAAACATATCAAAATTTAAATTTCCTTAGGTCCCCTGAAAAATCGTGCTCTCAGTCACTGTACTGCTCTTGGCTGGGACACAGACATTTGTCCACCATTAAATTTTGCTGTGCTGCTTGTTAGCTGGGATTGCTTTTCTGAAAAGTGATTATTTTGTATGAAACTGGCTACAGCTGGGTTAGAACAGTACTAGCAAAATGCCCAAACACAGGCAGTTTTAAGAGATGTTCACTTTCAGCCTCTCTCCCCTCTCCCAAGAGCACTGTTTATATATACATGTATTTATACATTGTGCATTGCATACTTGTGGGTTAGAACAGTACTAGCAAAATGCCCAAACACAGGCAGTTTTAAGAGATGTTCACTTTCAGCCTCTCTCCCCTCTCCCAAGAGCACTGTTATATATACATGTATTTATACATTGTGCATGTGCGTACTTGCATTGTAAGAGCTGACAACAGAGAGGAATTATTCTGTGTGTTTCTATCACACTAACTACACTGCTGTAGCTCCGCTTGTGCCAAGCTCCTCCTTCAAAACAGAGCAGGATGCTTTGCTCCTCAGCTCTCTCTGAACACACTACACCAGTGTGCACACAGAGTCAGGGCAGAAGAGCAGGTACACTGCTAATTCACAACCTGTCTCTGTGTGTACTAATGCCACTACGCTGGTACAATCCGACAGCAAATACTTCCCTACCCCACACACAATTCACATGTAGGCAACACAGGTGTGCCTATTCCATACACGTCCTTTTAGTACCTGAGAAATGTCAGCAGAATCACATGAAGAGCTTTAAAAAGAGAGACAGACGCCACAGTGATTCCCATAAATGTTCAGCATAGATTGATAAGATGGACGCTCAAGAAGTGCCGAGATGAATCATGAAAAGATCTGCTATGTTAAGACCAGAAAAATGACCAAACGCAGGTATTAACTCTCAGTTGAATTTGTCAATGCAATGTGTCTCCTACAAACAACAATTTCATTCAACATAACCTATTATGTAGCATTTTACAAAGTCACTATCCCCGTATTAGGAGACGGGGAATCAGTGGTACAAAGCGGCAGATTTATCTGCCCAAAGCATTTTGATACCACAGTAGCAGAGGCAGTGAAAGAATTTCATACCAGATGTCTGGAGACATAACTGGGAACAGACCAAGAATCCCCATCTCCCGGCTGCCAGCAGCACGCCTTGATCAACAAAAATACTGGCCGGCATTCTCCCTCACGTACTTCCTCTGTTTATGTATCTGGTGCGTCCGTGTGTCAATGCACACTCCCCCCACAACCGACAGGCATACGTACGCGTAGTCTAAGCATGCACGCTTGTGTCTGTAGGCTAATCATCATGCAGCTCTGCACAAACTACAGCGAGGATTATTTGCTTAACAGACTCCTTTTTCTCCCCTCCATGCTCCTTTTCTTAAAATTAGCTGGTCGCAGTACCACAGACAGCATCCTTTGGAGGACCGAGCCAGTGAAGAAGTGGAAGAAACCACACGTGCCGCAGAAAAGCATCATATCAAAATATTACGAGGCTGTGTTGCCAAACATAACGCAATACAGCCTGCAAAATGAGGTAGGGGGAGAAAATATGGCATTTACCTGACAAGAGATCTGTACAAGGTAGACCAGTTCCTTGGATTCACAGCCGTTTCTCGTTACTTCATTCTGTTCCTCCGGGAGTGAAAGCTACACCGCGGGAGCAGGGAGGGGGTGGAGAAAAGAGAGAGAGAGAAAGACCAGGTCAGTGAGCAGGGATAAACCAGGCATGTAATAATGCATGAAGCACAACATTCACATCAACTTGCTCCAAGACATGCTGAGTATCAGGGAGTCAGGGAAATGCTTGTCTGTCTGGAGTTGTCAGATAGAAAATATTCAGCATTCATGGCTTACACAGACCCTCGAATGCCATTGGATTTTGGCACCTCACCTGACAGTTTAAAAATAAAAATATGGTTCAAAAATAAAGCAATCATAGGAAGGCAAACTGTTCGAGCCAGGGCTTAAGCCTCTAGCTTCAAAATCTGCAAAATTAATTGTTCACTGAAAATATCTCTATAAATATTCATGTATCAGATAACAGTGATTTCCTCCCCCAATTTTATTCATTTTTTATTTTATGTGTTCAGGCAGACATTAGATAATAAAACATATCTCCTAATTTCAGTGTTGTCAAGCAATTTACCACAACAGAGAGCTTTATGGCACCATTCATCACATACAGAGTCACTAAATACAACATCAGGATGTGCTTTTTTTCAGAGCAGTGAGGAGAGATTTAACCGTGTCATTCCTGTACATGTACCGAGTGCCTTGACTAGTCCTACTACTAGTCCTGCTACTCCCACTAGTCCTATCCTATACTTAAAATGTCTTACATTTAATGATCTTCTCTGAAAACAGAAATTACAAAGTGATCATAAGCAAATTAAGACTGTTTGCAAAGCAAATAAAAAAAGGAAATGTCTTCCAAAAAGTTGTGTTATAAAAGAGAGAGAGATCCTTTTCCAGTGCAGAGCCTCGGGAAGAGAAAACCATGAAACACTCCCTTAAAGGTGCACGGAAAAGGTTGAGGTATCTCGTCCTCTCTGCACACACCCGGAGCCATCATTGCTATCTTTACTCCTTATATGATGGACATTAAAGTGCACAGTGAAAGCACTGCTGTACTTGCCAGAAGAGTTATTCACTTTCTTTCTTAAGCAGAAATGATGCCAGCTTAAAAATAGAAAGCACTGAGGAAGAGTCCAGGACTTTTTACACAAAGGTCTTTTGGAACAACACTCGCTCTCTTGGAAAATGCGTACATAAAAATTTGAGTCTGTAAAAAAAATTATAATTAGCTAAGACCAAACAAATGCAACAACAAATGAAAATAGAATTAAACGTAAGAGTGAGGAGAAAAATCACAAATTGCTGTATTTTCATGAATGTAAGCAAGAGAAAATCAGAACCACGTGATTAGAGGCACGTACCTCCTGAGAAAGAGGGAGATGGAAGGCAAAATTCGCTTACATATGAGTGACCACTGATACCCAGAGTGAATTTAACTTTGCATTTTGCCGGTATCTCTCTCCTCTTTGTAAGGAAGTTGCAGAGCATACAAATTCAGCACTCTGCCTTCACCAGACATAACTTCCTGAATACTGATTTCTTTTCTGATGGTTGTATACAGGATTGCAGATAATTAAAAAGATTTCTGAACCAAAGAAAGTCTTTGGATTTCCATAATTTATTATATTTTTACAGCATTAAATGTATTTAGAGGAAGAGAGAGAGCACGTGCAAATGCTCACCACTCTCTCTTGCTGGTTATGCACATAAAACTTTCTCCCGCTTTGTGGCAGTCCTTTTTTGTGAGCAAATACAAATTTTCCATCAAAGGATTTGTATCAGAAATCAAGTTTGCACTGATGCCTAACAGTGTAGGGCAGCTTAAAAAAAATTGTACCTAACTGGGGACATCCAAGAGCCTTTTGCCGAGGCTGCTCTTTACATAACTGGAAGGACATAGAAAGTCTTACAACACTGTGCAAGCTCTCGAAGATGAAATCCACTCAGTGTCACCTCCATTTGGACACTATCTTTACTCTGTCATAAATCACCGCTCTAGAAAACCCATGAAATGTTTCCCTCGGCCACTGTTGCAGCTTCTCCTGTACCACTTTCTCAGCACGCTCTCTTTTTCGGCTTCCAGACAGCCTCTCGTTCCACCTATAAATTCTCCCTTCAAAGCGACCTTTCTTCTGTAAAGCTTTCCAGTGAGAACTTTAAAGATTTTTACGCACGCTCACATCCTCATAAGGTTGGTGTGCAATACAGTCCCAGACATAAATCTTTCTAACTGCTGTGGGGGATCTTTCACATGGTGAGCTTAATTCCACTAAAAAAAACCCTGAATTCCAGAAAGAGGCTATTTTAAAGATCTGTAAGAATGATTTTTCTATGTGTGGAACAGCGTGTAGCCTGCTGCCACTAATGTGATTAAATATGACCGTTATTTATTTCTGCATTGCACGTTCCCCCAACTTCATCATCATTCTTTGCTATTAAATTTCGTATTTAAAGTGCTACTAAGTTTTGAAACTAACTAACAGTCAAAGAAAAACAAAATAACAAAGCGTGCAGTAAAGGAAAGCTAATACATGGCTGGAGATTTTTTCCACGTTTGTCAAGTACCAAGGAGCTCCAGTTCAATTAAACGTGGGTTTCCTACTCACGGAGAAAAGTTTCCATCCTTTAATCTCCCCTGTGCTTATTTAGGGTACATACACCTGCTCTATCAACCCACAATGAAATTTCAGGCCTTGCCTCCCTTAAGTATATCAGCGCTAAAGCACATCAACTGCAGGCTCCACTTCACTCCAGCAGACGCTGTTTGCCTGACAAGCCAGCAACCAGGCAATGAAAATGCCAACATACAAATGCAGCAGCTCCCCAAACATATTCAAGGCCTGATTCCGTGCAACACGACGCGGGGCAGAAAAAGGTACGGCTCAAGACAAGACAAAGGTTGAATTGCATCACCTTTATTCTTACATATACTGTAATTCACACCAGCCTGGACTTATGTCACGCCAAGTCTATACACAAACTCTCCAGAAATAGCAAGTGAATCATCTGTAGGCGGGAGGTCCGTGCGTGTAGGACGACTCAGTTACAGCAAACTTTTCATTTGAAAGAGCATACCTACCCGAGGATTAACCTACTGATTTATGTTCATCAACTTTACACCCACATAGTTAGTTTCCACTTTAATGCTTCTGAATGTCCCCATTTAGACAAACTCACTGTAGTGAGAAGTGACATTTTAAATCCACTGTACCTCCCTACATATACGCAACTGTCTTATTTCAGAGTGAAGTTGTAAAAGCTAAGGGAAAGGCTCTTCCCCCTCCTGCAGCCAGCCTCGTGCCTACTGAGAGACAGGGAGAGTGGAATTGTTTACACAGGAAAATCTATTGGTTTTATCCTGTAACGTAACTGTCCTCACGGCAAAATACCCTGGAAGATGAATATTCGCTTATGTTCCCTGTTCCCCATGTGGCACCATTTTTGTTTTGTTCTGTTAATAGACATGCATTAATGCTCTTCCAAAAACCACGGATGGTAATGATGTTTAAAAGCCTTTCCTCCTGCAGCACCCCTTATAAACAAAACATCCTAGAAAGTAGAGGTGTACCTGGGCCTGATTTGAAATCCAGGGAGCACAAAGCAAAGGCCTCTCCTGACCTTAGCAGACTCTGAACATGACTCACAGGCAGAATTTGGTTGACTCCAAATTGGGAAATTGATTTTCTTCTTCTTAAAGGACAGAGCAAAGACAGCAACGTCTCGAGGATACCCCTGTAACAGTTTCAATGTGTGTCACCTGAGATAGCTGAAATAATCTGTAAATAGTATTTATGGTAACTGATCAAAGCGTTAAAACAGCACACTTTATATATATGGCTTGATATATAATCTGAAATGTTCGTTTTTCACATTCAAAACGGCTGCCAAACTTCCCGAACCTGATAAAGAATTATGATGCATTAGGTTCTGCTGGGTTCATTTATTATTGGAATATGTATGCTTAGCTAGCACAAGTAGATATGACTAACTTCATAAGTTTATGGTATCCTAATCTTTTCAGTGGTAGCATTTTATGATACACAAAGAAGGCCTTAAAGATGGTCCTATGAACACATCACACCTTAACAGTTGTATGGATAACGCAGTGTGCTGTAAATGCTATGTCAAGGTATCATTCAAACTTGTCTTTACACAGCTAGAGACAAGTTTGTGAGTCTCCTCTCTGCCTTTCTGCACACACCCACAAAGAACTGACGAGTGTATTAAATCCTGGAGCAGGCAGGCAATTCTTCACCTACCTGCAAATTCACACTGTGTCGCTTTGTGCAGCTGACCAGCGAGAGCTGCCGTTCCTAACACAACGATGCGCCAAACAATGGGTAATGATAATAAACCAAATAGCAGCAAAGATTTCCAAGAGCAGGAGGCCAGCTGAAGAAGCAATCAGGATCTCACAGTACCAATCCACTCTAATAGTAACAGTTTCACCTCAGTAATTTGAAAGACAAAATTAAGCTACATACCTGCTTCATACTCGGTTTTACCAAAAAGCGCAGTGCTTGCTAGATAAGACTTTACTGATTGTATATAGAGGCAGGACTAGCTTAAAAATGCTGCTAGTTCACGTGGTCTTCCCACTGTCTGAGAAAAAGAAGCTCATCTGTAGTAAGCTAGCAGATAAAGACACGATTACAAGAGTCTCCCGCAGAGGATAATTTATTGGTTACTCCTCTTGCAGAGATAAACAGCAACAAAGTAAACAGGTAAGTTATGATATGGCACATTCAGAAGTCTTGTTCAAAAGCTCGGTAGTTTTACAGAGTACAATTCTGTGCGTGTGTGTTTCTCTTCCAGAACAGGGATTAACAAGCACAAAACAAACACTCTTCTCTCCTGTCCGAAGTGGCTTTGGAAGCTCCCTTCTGCTCTCCCTCCAAGAATAATCCTCGCAACAAACTCTGGCAGATCTGCGCTTGGAGCAAAGCAGCAGGCGTTTTAAAGATTCATTTGTTTGTCTGGAGCTCCACAATTTCAAGCCTACTGTGAACCTGTCCGGAAGGCACACGGGACCTGCCACGTTCCCCGCACAGAGATCCAAAAAGCAAGGGCTA